TAATTGAAAGGTTTATCATATAATAGTATTGTAGCTGTCTTATTTTACAGATTTCATGCGGAACAAGTAGAATACGTTCTTCTAGCTATCACTAAAGATCAAATAGGAATTCACCAAGATAGAGTCAAAGATTGTATGTACATCAAAAAGCTCGCAGAGAAGAGGCTGGATGAGCTTAATAATACTTGGAGAGAGATCAATACCGAAGACGTAAATATTATTTGTTTATTAGTAATTGTAGATAAATTTTTATCGTAGTTCATTGATGATTTTATTTATTTATTTATTATTATTATTTTTATTATTAGGTCGATTTTCCTTTTACTGATGAAGATGAAGAAAAGGTTAAAAAGCGTGGGAATTATGTTATTGATCTTTCAACTTTGACTGCATATCATGATGATATCGAAATGATTGAACAACTAAGAGCCAAAATGATAGATGAGATTAAATTTTTGATCGAAGCTATCGATAGAGAAAATAAGTTGAAAATGGTAAATTTTGATAATCATATATAGCTTCATTGGTTTCATTGGTTTATAATTCAATTTTGGTTTAATTTTCTTTTAGGTTGAGAGAGAAAGACGGACATTTGATTATGGTCCATTTATACGCGAGTTTATTTCAATTCTTCATGAACGAGGAGAGTTGAAAAGCTTGATTTCGGCAGCAGAAGACATGATAGAAGATGAATAAGATAATCATATATTATGCTATCTTCTTATCAAAGACTTTATGTTGGCCGGTTAGGCTGTTCATTATTAAAGATTTTTTAATATTGATATTTTGCATGTTAGATTTATTCTTGCTAAAATTTTTTGATATATATATATATATATATATATATATATATTTGTTGGATTACTATATAGTTTATTGTTTATGTTTTACTACTACATTTCGACAAAATAATAATTGTCGATAATTCGTTATAAGGTTCAAAGTATTAATAAAATTGTGATATCATTTATTATTATTTTCATAAATAGAAATACCTTTGAAATCATTTGAATTGATTACTATCAGTCTAGTTCGAAAAAAACAACGTTTAACGAATACTTTTTAGTTATCGGACAAAATCACTATCAAACATGACAAAATAAATTCATATCTTTTAAATTT